AGAGCTTAGACTTTGGCCAAAAAGGCAAGGCTCATTGCATGTGCCATGCAAAACGCACACAATCAAGCGACAAATTGATCGCACTCCCAGATAGCGTCGGTTTTGGACAGTGGTGCAGAAGATTCTCAAGGCGATGGTTCTAAAAAAAAACACTAAGTCATAAGCATTATGATTCAAGTTTAATGTAACGTAACATCTGGTAAACGCAGAAGAGCTATCCCTTTAATTGTTAGGGGAAAGATAAATTTACATTATTATTTTATTATTATTTTTTAAGAATGTACACTTCATTATTCAATGTTAGTTAGAAACTAACTTATTATATTATCTATCAAATTGAATTATTATCAAAATAGAGGCTTTGACAAAATTATAAATATTACTATGTATAATTAAGGCTTAACCCATTTTTCCATTATGTAAATAAATGTGTTTTTTTTGAAGTGCTGCAATAAACTAAGCTACCTAAGCAAATAATTCAACCAGAATTTAACTTTCATTATAAAAATAAAATGCCTTTATTTCTGCAATAAATAAACAATTCAAAAATGGTATTTAGCCAGAATAATGAATACTATATTTTAGACCATATAATTTTATTGTATGCCAACAATCCGTTTGTATTCTTTCATTTAATTAGCATGAATATATTCCCGTCCTTTCACGTACTTTAAAAATTAAATTAAGATGACATTTTTTTACGTATGCAATTTTTAAAAAATATTATTTTAAAAATAAATAAAGTGAAATTAAATGTTTTTCACAATTTTCGGTACATATATTTTTCCTAACTTAAAAATCGTGTTAGTTAATTGTCAATGCTGATTTACATCCACTGTGGCAACCGCTGAGTCTGCAGCTTGTTGCCCGATTCCGTGGCAGTCATAGGCCTACCTACACAGTTCTGGAATATCCCTGGCAGCCCGCTCCCTATTCGCCGCTGAAACCAACGAGGTAACTAATATCTGTTGCAATTGCCAATGCCAATTTTCCTATTTAATATGCCACGAATTGACATGGGCCGTTGCCATTAAGCATTTGATATGACCAGGCCCAGAACCAATGGGCCATTGGCCATGTTTGGAGTTGGGCAGTGGACATGTGATGACATTGCATGGGCCACAAGCAGATGCAGTTACGGATGCAGTTGCAGTTGCGGTTGCAGTGGCATCCGTGCCTAATTTAATCAAATTAGCTGAGAAATGCAATGGAATGAATTTGTTCGTTTGGTCAGAGACAGAAACGGCAACAGAAACAGAAGCAGAGGCAGAAACTCATTACGTTAATCAGTTGATTGTGCAAATCTAAAACAAATTATGACAGAGCATATGCCCGGGCATATGGCAATTTCTATAATTAATTCGCCCTCCCCATACACAAATGCAATTTGTGCAATTTAATTTCATTAGAATAATTCTAATTAGGGCAATGAGTTGTAGGTGCTATCACAGCCGTACAATCGTTTGACTAAGCGCCAGCTCAGTGAATTGGATGCAGCTGTTTGTGAGCGTGTGATAACGGAAATTTAATTGAAACTGTGGCAGCTTTTGTGAAATTATTGGAATGGCCAGAGAGCCAGAGAGCCAGGGAGCCAGAAAGCCAGAAAGCCAGAAGTCCAGAATGCCAGGAGCAGCCAACCAGCGCGAGAACCAATTACATTTACCAGCCGACATTTACTTGACACCCCAAAACACCCAAAACCCAACCCAAAACCGAATCCCCATTGATGCGCTGGTGTCCAATGATAAATATAGCTAATGGAAGTTGCCCTCTCAGATTATAATGTTTGTTGCCATCTAAATTGAATTGCAATCGAGGCCCGCTGCCCTTGGATCGGTATTAAAATTCATTTAAATCGAATCGACTCGACTCGAATGGCAGAAGCCATAACCGGCCATATCGCAGCTAATCATCTAAAGAAGTGTTTTGTGTGTGTGTCGCCATTGTTGGGTGCACATTTCCAATCAGATAAACACGCAGCCGAAACGCACGAACTGAAACTGAAACAGAAACAGAAACGGAATTACGTTGCCCACAAAAGGAAGTAGAAGGAGGAGGTCCTCCGGAGGCCAGGACAATGAGGAAATGGTCGAGGACGTGGTCGTGGTCAGAGGAGCATTGTTCCCTGGCTCCTCCTCGTCGTTGTCACTAATTAGTTAATGCATGACCAAATATTTGCTGCTGTCTTGGTCCGAAGGCCACCGGCCTTTGAGTGAGAGGAGCCCAAAAAGCAGCCAGCACTCAGGCAAATTCGATTGCTATTGAACTGTTTAATCAGTGATTTACCAAACTTAATGCACTCAAATTAATCGGATTAATATGAACGTTTTGGAGATAAAAACAGAAGTGAAGATGAAATAAATATAAAATGGATAGAGTGATTAAAGACCTGATAATATTTAAAAACATTCTCCATTCTCTTATTAAAACAAAATTAAATGGAGTATTTGTTATGAATAAATTTTCAAAATAGAAATAGATTGGGCGATGTAAAACTAAATTGAGTATTACATTTAAACAAGTTTTAAAAGTATTAATAGTTTAGGCGATGAAAAGTTTATCTTCAGAAAAGCAAAAACAAAGTTTGGTAACTGTTTATGAATGCTACTTTTTATAACTTATAAAAAGAAACAACTCTATAGGTATTTTATTGCTTTCTTAATTCTAATGTTAAAATTCTTTTAACATTTAACATGCTTATGCATTTTTTGCATACATAAAATTTAGATTTTTTACATTTTGATAAGGCTTTGGAACTGAAAACCCTTGCACTAAAATTAGTCACAAAGAGCATTATTATTTAAGAGCTTACAAATTGGGCTGGTTCCTCTTTATTTTTTGTAAAAACATTTTAGAAAAACACAAATCTAATACCAAGGCAAAAATATGTATAACCATATTTTTGGGCAAACAAATATTAGTTCAGATGTTGGTTTCAGCTTTTTTAACTTAAGCAAGCCATCCCAGCACTTAATCATATCATAAATTTATGTGGTTGTTGCTTGTGTTTGACTTTAACTAATTAGTTAATGCACGGTTTCCAAAATACAAACATTTGATGGGACCAGCAGAGACAAGAGTTCCCTCTAATAGACTTTACCCCAGCCACCACACAATACCAATACCAATTCCTATTCCAATTCCAATTCCGATCCCATGGATAGAGCCGTTGATTTACGTTCATATTTAGTGCGGTTTATTTATGTCGTTTGTTGCATGTTCTCCATATCCAACTGGTTTCAGGTGGCGTGCCCCATTATCATCCCATGCGAGTGTGTATCGGTGTGTGAATTGGTTTCCCATTGGCCGAACATATGCCCACTGCCACGCTTATCTGCGATGCTGATTAACTGATTTATATGGCTGGTCATTGCTTATGCATTGATCACCGCGTTTTGTTTCCTCTGATGGACTCACTCGAAATTGGTATTGCTATTGGTATTGGTGTTGGTATAGGAGTAACAGTTTCAGTTACCATTACAATTGACCTGTGACATGTGCGACACTTTTGCATGTGTCTAATGTGGCGTATTTGGGGGGTAATTTCCAAGGCACCGCCTCGAATCACTTATTTTGTTTCAATTATATTGTAATTATATAGCAATTAGGTTTAGCTTTTCGTTTTGCTTTGTTTTCGGTTAACTTTGCCGTAATGGTAGAGGACAGTGTCTATCACGTTGAGCTCATGTGATGCTGACAAATAAGTACGAGTACAGTGCGTTTCGGTTTTGTCAGGCAGCTTTAAATTATTGACATTTATTTACATTACTTTGAAATTAAGTAATGAGTTGTATTTGAAATAATGTAAAGTCGGCAGTAAAGCATTCATTTTGATTAGTTTTGGAATAAAATATTAAATTACTGATAAGTAGCCTTAAGAAAATCAAAATCGACATTGAATCATATACTTTTTGATGCTTTAGTCGATTTTTTAATGGGTCTTACAAAATATGAGATCTATTTATTTTAATCGACATAGCCGTTTACAACATATTGTATAATATATGTTAATTAAGTTGGTTAAATTTTAATGGGATATTTCAACCACCTAATTTATAAATATCGTTTCTTGTTTATATAGGTATACCACAGTAGTGGATATTCTTCAGGACTTATATTTTATCCACGTACTGTTTAACCAGTCATATATATTTCAATAACTGAACAATTCGGACCTGCTTGACTGCGTGGTCATGCCGTGCACTTAATTGCTGTCCCAATTATTGCAATGCTCAGAGATATACCCAGCCGATAAGTTTGCATTTTTTTTTGTTGCAATTGGGAAAACTGATAACTGATAACAATAAGTCGAAACAAAAACCTTGGCAAGGTGCAGCGGAACCGGATGCCGAGTGAAAAAAGGTCCAATGGGGTCATCATTGCAGTTTGCTCAACTATATATGTTGGATTAATGGCCAGCTAACACGCGTTCGTTTGGGAGTTTTCCTGGCCCATCATTCTGGCCTGGTCATCGCTGTAAAACAAAAGACTTAGGCAACAAACTGTGTTCTTATGGCACTTCACCAAAACACCAACCACCGACAACAACTGCGCTACGAACATGCCATTTCACGCCTCCAAACAACTCATAATTCATGCGTTCAATAGCCAGCAACAAATGCTGCATAACAAATGACTAATATAGAGGGCCAGAGCCAGAGTATCGAAAATTGAGGGAATCAAGGCACGTTTCTTGTGTAGCAAAGACGCATCGAAATTTAAAGAGCAATTCATAAGCATAAATGGCCATTATAGAGACATCATTGCGGGCCGGGTTTCGATGGCTGCTTATTGGATTTATTACCAAACCAATTTCGATTTTCTGTCCACTCATCTGAAAGCAATTAATCATCGGCGGAGCCTTCAGTTACCGTTCCTCAATTAGAATCGTTTTTGTGTTTTTTTTTCTGTATTTTTATGTATATTTTTTTCTTCATAAATTATTTTTATTTATTTTTGTGATTTTTTTTATGGATTTTTCTGGTGATTGCCATTAAATTTAATACAATTTTCCATTTTTTTTGTTTCGCTTTTAAATAAACATTACTTTTTGCTTTGATTTATATATATTCAACTATCAATATGGCCAAATTACAATACATTTATCGTTTACACTTAGCACATAATACATCATATTTATATATATAGTTATACATATCGTATTCTGTTTATACCTCAGACATAAATTAGGTTAGGACTAAACTGGCTTTATACACACAACTTAGGGGGTTACAGTTTTATGTTTAGTTGGATTTGTTTTTTTTTTTTGCGATTTTTCTTTTTTGTTTTCTCTATAATTTTACAAAAATTGCTAACAAATGTATTTTACAAATTGCCTTTAACATTTAATTTAATTAAATTTATTACATTACGCTTAAGTCTATGCATATTTTAATGTGTATGTGTGTATATTTTTAAGACTTAGGTATTAACATTGAACATTAAAGTGTGTTTTTAGTTTAAAAAGTTGACGGCGGCCTTTGCTTTCAATCAAAAACATTTTCCCTCTCTGCCTTTTTTTAAATTTATTTTACAATTGCTAATGGCGCGCTTTAGTGAAATTTGTTATATTAATATTTATATATATAGATTTTACTTTTTGTTTATCACGTCTGTTTTGTTTAGAGTCTAAGAATTTAACTAGTTTACAGTAGGCATACGCTCTAAAGTATTTGTGCAATTTTCAATTGCATTTTGCGAATTAGGACAAACATCTCAAGCAACTTTTCTTATATGTACGATTTTTGTTATTTTGTTTTAATTTATACAAAAATGTTTACTTTTGGACGTGCATTGTAACTGTTTTTGTTTATTGTATATAATAATAATTTTAGTTCTCTGTGTGCTTGATTCTCGTTTTCTGTTATATGTACACAATAAATATTTATGAAATTTCCCCCTCATTCTGTTTTTATGGCAGTTCATAAAGCACAATTAAATACACTGAATTTGCGGCGAGAAATTAAATTAATTAAGCGCAATATGAAACATAAGGAAAAACTATACAAACACTCACAGAAAAGCCATAAAGGAAAAATAAAATAAAAGTAATGTGCAGCCCTTTAATTAATTTTAATGGGGCTTTTGTTATTGCTGCCGGGCCACTCGGCTCGCAATAGCAGCAACAACAGCGACAAAGCTTAAATAATTAAAAATTGCACGCAATGTTTACAATTAGGAATAGCCAGCGTTCGTCAAGGGCTCGGTGCCACTGTCAATTGCTGGCCAAGGAGTCCTCAGTTTGGCATTGTGTTTTGTCTGGTTTACTTTTCTCTTCTTCTTTGTTTCGTTTTGTCTCGATTTATTCACTGCTCGATCAAGTCGATTGAGGAGTGGGTGAGTCGCGGCTCTAACTGAACAGATTGTTGTTCAAGTTATTCCCGCTCCATCACGTGTAGTCAGTGCGCCAGGTGCCCTGCAGGAGAAAAGAGGGAAAAAGTCCAGGTGGAACGTTAGTAAAAGTTCGGCATTAGCAATCCACACAAAAGCTGGCACAGCTTTAATTTTGAGAGCAAAAAATGGATATTTATTTTTACTCGAAACTCAATATTTAAACAGCTAAATAGTTATTAAATTTGTACTTTGTATTTTCAGAGATTATTAATTCAAAATAATGTATTTAAAGCTATCAATATCTTAACAGCTTTCCCTATTTATTAAATTTCTGATTTACTTTTGAATAAGTAGTTTATTCAAAATTCCATATGTTTAATGTATGTCACTACAAAATTGTTGTAACCTTCATTTCATAACATTTTAATCCGTAAAGAAAACATCTTAGAAAATGAATTGATTGGAATTTTCTTATAGCCTTGTTTTAGTTATACAAAGTATTTTGTTTTTATCTAACAACAAAAATGTTTTAAAAGTGTCTTTATCTTAGAGTTCCCCAAATCTTTCCCAATATTTTTCTCTGTGCCGCAAAAAGCTTTCCCAAAAAGCTGCTGTTGGTATAGAAATTCTCCTCTACTCACCATCGAACTGAGGCCCAAGTGGTAGGGCTGCGAGTGGGGCACCACCGCTCCGCCGAGAGAGCCGGCGGTGGAGAAGCCGCCCTGCAGTCCGCTGGAGGCGCCCAGGGCGCCCATGCCGCCGGTGTACCAGCTGCCATGCATGTGCGCATGTGCCGGATGCAGTCCGCTCGAGAGGTGTCCATGTTGAGCTAAAAAGAGCCGAGAGAATTGGGGGAAAAAACGAGCGTTAGTTGGAGTGACGGGCGTTTAATTGGCTCGCGAGGAGCAGATGCTTACCCATGGAGGCCGAGAAGCCGCCGCCGAATCCTTTAGAAGGATCCAGTGGCTTGAAGTCGCCCATGCCCAAATGTCCTCCAATTGGCAGACAGCCGCCTCCCAGACCCTTCTTCTTCTTGGACTTGGAGCTCAGCTTGCGGTTACGCGTCTGGATGCCCTCCTTTTTCATTGTAAGCGGACGATTGACCTGTAAATAATTTGAAAAAGAACACAAATAAATTAGTAATGAGGAAAAAATAGAGCACTCAAACTGGTAATAAGTTGTATATTTTGTTTTCTAACTAAATGTTTTTACAGTAAATTTAAAAAAATAATTTTGAAAGATGAATGAACATTTAAAATATTAAATAATAATTTTAAATATATTGCCTTTGAAATATTTTCTTCAAATGCTTAGGTACGTACAAAAAATATTCAATAAAAATAATCTTTTATAAAGTTGATATACCTATTTCTGTCCGTTTTTGTTTCATATCATATAAATTTATTTTAATTAGCATTAAAATTATTTTAGCAGGAGAAAGCTTATGAAAAATTGCTCTTAAATGTTTTAATTTTCCTGCGTGTAGGTGGAAAATCAATAAAGTAAAAGCGAGCCGAAAAGAGGGCTAAAACCGTCAGCGAACTAAAACTGACCGCTAAAATGGGTCAAATTTATGCAAATTCATGGACCGGAAATGCCGCTAGCTGCACACGCTGTCTGTGTGAGACAGGGGTGTGTGTGTGTATGTGTGTGTGCCTCCCTGTGTGTAAAATGTGTGAGTGAGTGCAACCGGGAAGTGAAAATGAAGTATTACAAGCATTTCTACACGATCAGATAAGCGACATTTGCGAATGCGATTAGTTGGCGCTGATAGCGCTCACAACGGCACCCGGGTAATGTTTTTTTTTTGTTTGTAGTATTTTTACTTAAAGCATTTGCTGATGTTGCTGCTGTGCTGCTGCAGTTGTTGCTAATGTTGCTGCTGCTGCTGTTGCTGCTGCTGTTCCCTTGGCCATTGTTGGGCTCTCTTCATATGCAACTCCTTATCACTTGCGAACATCTAAGCGGCAGCATGCGCTTCATTGCGCTACAATTACAATATTGGGTTACCCATTCCCAGAGCGGCAGAAGCGAAACATTAGCAACAAAGCCGAAGGGGGGAGTCCAACACACAAATGTAGCAGCAGCATTACAAAGGACCAAGGGCTACCTGGGCGTGAATTACGACATTGTGCTGGGTGCCTCTTTTTCTTTTTCTTTTTTTTTTTTTATTATTTCCGATTATGCCCTCGAAAAAGCAAACACTGAAATTGTTAAATTGCCGAGCGAGCACTTTGAAGAGCCGAGATTTTCGGAGGGTTGTGATTTGACGACAAACAGGGTATCACTTACAATGCGATACACACAAAATAAGAGCCCATACATAGAGTAGTATCCAGGGGAGATGGGAGGATCTCAGGGCAGCCCACGTAATTGATAGTCTCTCTAGCGTTTAGCGCAAATTGCGGCAATTAGCAACTCGACGGCGCTGGCAGCTGCGGATCTCTGTCGAGCTTTAATTGATATGCAGCAACAAAGCATAAAGTTGTTAATGCCCAGGCCTAGCTCATTAAGAAATTCAGAGGAAAGCGCCCAAAGGGGAGCACCAGCAGATTAACTTTTTTATGCATAAAATCTAAATCGAGCGTGGAGCAAACACGCGCCGTTGCAGTTGACTGGCAATTTGACAGCCCCAGATGAGGAAAAATGCAGTCAGTGCAGCAGTGCGGCCCACCCACAGACCACACTCATCGGGGACTTATACCCGAGATATATATCAGATATATATTATAAGATCCCGTGGAAGGGAAAAGAGAAATCCAAGGACAGACGGCGCCAGACACCGTTAGGTAACCTTTATGATTTTCTATATTTTTCCTCCTTCATTGTCACTTCACCGCAGGACATTTTCCCAGCAGGTCAGCAAGGACCATGTGACCTGCTCAACAATTGTATCATTTGGCGTTAATTAACATGCTGATTCTCCAAGATATACCCCGATTTCAAGGAACTCTCGAGCAGACACGCGCAGATGCCAGATAACAGATCAAAGATCCAGCCAGTGCATAACCAGAAAAGATACAGGAACTAGTGCTTCTTAGATTACAGTGGTTGTGGGTTTTCGGAAAAATATATAAATAAATAAATATAGTCCATGCATGCCGTTTTTTTGCCAAAGAGGAAGGGGAAATTATTTTAGTAGGCTTACCACTTATATATGTCTATGCTGTTATTATGACTTAAGGTCCCAAATTAAAATATAAAAAAAATTTAAATATTTTCTAGGTGGATAGAGAGCAGGTACAAAAGTAGAGCTTTAAAATACATAACTTGTTTGCTTTCTAGAAATTGCATACTCTTTTCTTTCCAAACAGGACTGCTCTAATTGCCCTTTAGCCATGCCCCACTGTACTATGCTACGCCAAGTGCAACTGCAACATTTCCATAAAATGTGCCAATCACTTTGGTTAGAGAGGCCCACACAGGCGGCACAGCTCGAAATGACAAACGAATTGAATTGAAATGAACTGCAAGCCAGAAAAGCAACCAAAGCCAGAAAAAGTGAAAGAGACAGCTATACGGGGGGCAGACAGAGATGGCAATAGCAAAAATGCGCGCTGATTGGCATCTTATCGAGATGGGCCACTGTCCAATTGAAGGAAAATTTTTGCAAAAATAAATTTCGCCTGTTCAGCCACCCAAAGTGCATTTTCTCGTGTGTCGGAAAAGTTTTTACTTTGAGCGCAAATCAGATTACGGGAAAATAGAGCAAATGTGAATGCGTATGTGTGTTTGCCTGCTCTTTGATATTTGCCTTTTATGGACGGGCTCAATTAAAAATATTTCGCCTTTGCCGATTGCCATCGAAATGCAGCCGCTACTTTGCTTGCAAGTGGCCACAAGTGGCGACCGCAACTTAATTAGTTTGCCACACAGTGGGGCAGACAGGTGGCCCATCACTTAAGGGCCACTGACATGTAAATGTGCCAAAAGTTCAACCGCAAAACTCATTAAAACTTGACTGCAGGGCAAAGGAATGAACAACAAAAAAAAACCAAAGGAAAGAAAAACAAACCCCCAAAAAAGACACACCAAAAAAGGAAAAACTGTAAGATGGGGGAAAAACTTGAGCTTATCCCCTGAAAAGCGTGGCTAATGAATATTTAATAAGACGTTGAGATGTCGAGATGTCGAGGGGGTGGCTGAACATTATTCAATTGAATGCAGTTAGCCGGGCAGTCGATTACATAAATTAACTCTGCCAAAGGGGAGATCTTCTAGCATCCTGCCACGCGTTGCCCATAACTGGAAATCGCGGGGAAAGCTTATCGCATTTTCACAGGCAAACACCAAACACCAAACACCAAACACCATACAGCATACAGCAAACAGTAGACGCTTATCGCTGGATAGTGGGTGGTGGCTAACTGGCATCTTTAAATAATCATCGGGCATTCATCATCATGAGGGTAACAGGGCAGCAACCTGCTGCGGCAACAAATGGAGAAGCTAAACGGCAGTCAACCCCCTGGGGTGGTCGCATCCGGAAAATGGTAGGCGGGCGCGGGCTTTCCAGACACTTCATTTTTGTCACATTTAATCCCCGGGTGCGTGCGCTTCCTGTACAACACTCGCTTCGAGAGTGTCCAAATCCGATTTCGACTCCGATTCCGATGTTAAATGTGGCGTTAAATCGCGCGAATCGAAAATCAATATGTGTGGAGTGAGTTAAATGATACTTTTTCTGCTTAATAGTTCCGCTGACCATTGGAGCTGATCTACACTCGAAAAAAGGGACTTTTGAAAATGAATTTGAAGAACATTAGTTAAGCAAACCCCATTTCAAGTGATTTAAACTGATATAATCTAACAAACTTTATTTCGCCTTGTAATTTTGTGCCCCTTTTTCAAATTTTTATATAAAAAAAACTAATCCTTTGAAATTTGGAATGAATATATTCGACACGTTGTATTTTAACCATTTTTTTTTAGCCACTATTAAGAAAAAAAAAGCTTAAATGTACCTACGTAGATTTTATTTACATCTAAGTACATATTTTTAAATCTCTTTAAAAGGCTCTAAATCAATCTAAAACTCCCTGCTGTATTATAAAATATTTTTTCCTTTTAAATCTACCATTTTTTTTATACATTTTTCTTACAGTAGTTAAAGCAAATTCTGAAGATACTTACATTGTGCAGCTTGTAGTATAATCCGCAGGCGTTGCACACGGGTTCGCCGCTGGCATTTCGTCGCCAAAGGGTTGTGGTTGTGGTCTTGCAGTTGGCGCAGGATGTGCCCGCCCTTTTGGCCGCACTCTGCAGCGATTGCAGGGTCTATAAATAGGAGGAAGAAGTAATACAAAAAAGGGTTAGAGATTGGCCAACAAATTATGGTTATTTTTATGTATTATCTATTTCCTTAGAGTATATGTATTATGCTAATGCTGCTGCAGCGGCTAATTGAACAGCGCCAAAACTAACGCACCAAAGTCAGCAACAAGAGCAAGAATGTTATGCCCCTCCTTTCGAAGCTCCCTCCTCCGAAAACTAAGTTGCTTAACACACCAGGCAACAACATTTTTTAGATGGCATACCGTACAAAAAAAAACCTCTGGAGTTGGAGCCCAGAGAACTGAGACTCAGACGGAGTACGAGACGCAGAATTGTGGCTGCCTTGCGTTCGACTTGGGTTAACAGCAGCATCAATTCATTAAAATGACAATTTTTACAAAACTGCCCAAAAACAACAGCAGCAACAACAACGGCAACAGCAACAACAAGCTGGGATCATGTCTGTGCCACGCTTAAATTTCCACGAATTGGCTACAAGAACCGAGAATCGAGCAACGAGCAACGAGCCCAGAGAATCGAGAACCAAGAATCGAGAGCCCCAAAACCAAAAACCCAGTCTCTGTTCCTTATAGACCCCCCCCAGCCCAGTCCCCACCCCCCACATTTCTGTAGTACAGACTTTGTCTGCGTTTTGGTCTTCGTTATGGCATACCCCCTCCATTGGTGCCCCCTCTACAAATACACTGAACATTTTGAACATTTTTATATGCAAAAAATAGATATTTCTTGGAAACTTCAGTTTTTAAGAAACATTTTTATAGAAAAATATTATTTGATTTTAAGAAACATATTTTCAATTAAAAAAGTGCTCGTCAAGAAATATGTTTTAACCAGATATAAACTCCATAACTTTATTTCACTTATTTCGCTTTTGCATTTTTTTAAAATTTTTACTTTTAAAGAAACTAACTTTTGAATTTCCTTTTAAATAGTTTTCATATGTGCAATTTTCAAAGATTTTTTAGCCAAAAAGAAAAGTGCTGATTAAAATGCTCTTTGAGCTAAAAACAACTTAATAATATAAGTTTAGAGGGAACTGTTTTCAAACTTGGTTTTAAGTTATTTAGTTAGTCCTTTCAAGCTGAGCTAATGATTTAGTATGATAATGTTTTTCTTAGCAGCCAATATTTTGGAAAACCTTTTGCAAAACCCTTGCTATTTCTTTCTGTGCAGCCTTCCAGTTTGGCTTGTTCATGCTGCTGATACAACACATGGCTACGAGGCCTTAAACTGGCGTTGATCATGTTTGACTTTGATTTTTAATTGTTGCCTCTGCCACAAGGGAATCGCCTTCGTCGCCGAGAGTTCGAATTCGACTTCGATCCGCAGTCCGATCTCGATCTCGATCTGCTCTGCTCTGCTCTGGTCTGAATCTCACCTGTTCCCGATTTGGCGATTAACATAAATCAGAGGTCATATGGCAAGGGAGCTGTGCTGAGCTGGTGGTGTCTGCATTTTTTTTGGTGGCACTGTCTTGTGTTAACGAGCTTGTAACAATTTCTGCAGACAGCGCACGCGGACCGAAAAATGCCAGCCAAATGCGAGAAAAGTGAGAAATTCAAAATTAATTTCAACGCCTACGAGGGGACGAGGCGGTGAGATGAGGTGAAGATAAACTGGAAGTTTTGTGGTAATTATGCTGCAGTCTCTTTTTCAGCCGGGCAACGACAACTTGGCCGAAATGCTTAAGCGTATATAAATTAAGTTGTTAACATGACAATGCAACAAAACAGTTCGAGGAGCGACTGTGAAACAGGATCACAGCGATTCGCATTCCACAATGCCATTCCCCATTCCCATTCGCAATCCCATTCCCATTTCCATTCAAAGGTGGGTGTTCAACTCCTGTTGGCCAGCACAGTGTCACTTCGATTCGGTGCACCGACGTAACATAGAGTACAGTAAGTACCACAATCAGAGGCCCAACAATCGAGCAGCAAATCACATAAATCAATGTCAGTCCGCTGCATGCAAAGAGCGAGCGAGAGGGGAATAACTAAGGAGGAGGGGGAGGGCGGTTTATTCGTGGGGTGATGGGAAAATTGACAAACTGTCAGACATTGACAGGCGTTTGGGGTTTAATTGAAATGCAAAAAGCGCAAGCGCCAAAACAACAACAGCAACAACACACAGCAAACACACAAAACAAGATGGCGCTTGCGATTAATAAACAAAAGCAAAAGGCACATAAGGAATGCTTTATGTGTGACCACACAAATAATAAAATCAACATTTCTTTAAAAACAATTTTGAAAATCGTATATAAACAAAGCCCTGGATTTTTAAACTTAGGTTTTTCTAGTTCGACATGATAAAGTGACAGTTTAAGTTACAAATATTTTCAAAATTTGTACTTTCTTTTTTTTACGGTAAACTATTTACATAAATTATTTTAAAATATTCAGGTTTAAAGTAGCGAAGGGCACAACAAGTCATTAAATATTTTACATTAAAAAAACGTCAAGTTCAGTTGAAATATTAAATATCTCAATAAATTTTAAGTGTCCCTCAAAATATATTATTATTGTTGCTATAAATAAAAAATTTAAGTAAAGTAAGTCATTTAATATTATAAATAAGATAACCTTAAAGTTTAAATATAAATTGCTACAATTATGACCTCAGTTGTTTTCTGTGGGTGCTGTTGGCTTTGAAGTTTTCAGTGTTGTGGCCATAAATTGTGATTTATCAATGCATGACAAAATGCGTTGTATTGTTGTTAAGACCCGCATTCGCCATCTCTTTCTTGACTGCCGTATCCATCTCTTTCACTCAGTTGCTGGCCACACATTTGACACCTTTTGCTGCGCTTTGCTTGATTTATATATATATATTTTTTCAAAATAAAGCTCACAAAATGGTCGACTCGTCTTCTTTTTATATTTTGTTATCTTTAAGATTTTTCATTTTTTTTCCCCAACTGATTTGCTTTTGTGATGTTATGCAAATTTCGTTTTCATTTCACACAACAGAAACACACACAAGGCATTTAAATATTTAATTGTAAGTGAAACACAGACGAAAAGATTTTTGTTTTGAGGGGTTGCGGGGTGGGTGGTGAGGGGTGAGGGGGTAGGCAAAGGTAAGTAAATATGTACCGAGTAAATAGATTTTCCTTCTCGACACTGCTATTTATTGCGCAGAGCTTTTGTGCGCTCTCTTTTTGAGTCGTTCAGTGGCAATGCCCTTTGCCATCTGAGATACGAGACGGGACACAGTCAAGATGCTGGGGAAAAGTGGGCAAAAGTGGGGTGTTTGGGGTGTTTGAAGGAGAGGAAGGACAAGTTTCTGCCCCATAGATGTTATATCCGTATCTCGGTGTAACATCTTTCACTTGGAGCATCTCTTTCGCTCTGCAGAGCTGGCTTTTTTGTATCCTTCGCCCCCACCTCCAACCCCCAAACTTCGCTCTCTATCTGTATCTGTGTTATCTAACAAAACATTCATTAAATTTCTCGCAGTCGTTTTGTGCAGTCTACCCTTAACTTGGCTCACAGCGCATGGCCGCCCCCTCAATCTGGGGGTTGTTTTGGAGCCACCCACCCAAACGTATATATATATATATGTGTATATAGTATATATCAAGGGAAGATAACTAAAGATAGCGGGTAGAAAATTTCTATATCTGATGCTGTTCATAAGGGGGGTGCAAAAAATGAGTGCTGAGGGGATGCCCCACACAAAATGGGGTTTGTTGAATTTGCGTCTGGGCACATGGCAGTTACATTCAGCAACGGTAAGCGCATATCTCTGACTGTGGAATTTAATTTAAAAATTCAAATTTTATGGGCTACTTTTTCGTTTTCTCATCCTGAGTTCCTGTTCTATTGTCCTGCAGCTGGTTTTCAGGGGGAATCAAATGGGGATGGGGGCGTGACTCAGTTTTCCTGCAGCTAATTTGACTAATTAAAACATCAGCTTAACTCATTTCCATGCTCAAGCTGCGACCTGGCACGAAACTGTTGCTAAAAATCACACCTGCCCCTGCGGAGAGGAGTTGCTGGGTTATAAAAAATCAATAAAATGTTATATGGCCAGCAAACAGAACAAGCCATTAATGTCGCTCATTAATGCTGCTCAATGAATTTTACGATCCAGTCTGGGGAGGTTTTGCCAACCAGACGAAGGCTCTTTGGGTCCAGTGTTTGTCGCATGGAAATGCTAAAATGTCAACGGGCCTTTGTTGTGAATTTTAAGCAGTGGTAACAGTGGCAGCCAGAGCTTGACCCCAAACATAGAGAAATCGACAGGTTTGTTTAGTGAAAATAAGTGGCTTTAACAGTTAAAATTCGGAAAAGATTGTGTTACTAAAATTTGGATAAAAACAAACGATGTGATGAAATTATAATTAAATGTGAATCATTTTCTATATATTCTTAATGGTAAAAAGTTGTGAAACTCTATTTGTGAGAAATGGTATAAAATGAATAAAATATTAAAAAAAAAAGATTTTAATTAATAGTCCAAATATTTTAAGGACCTTGTAAATAAAACATTAAATTTTCTTCCATAAGCTAAGGTCATTAAAAAGTCCCTGCCATTTCTCCGAGTGCAATGACTTGCATTTAAACCTAACCATAGTTGCAATAGACTGACAACCCCTCACACCTCCGTTGGTAACCTTAACTCCCATTGGAAGGCATGAAAATCGTCATTAATATTTGTCACTGGCCATTGAATGGGGGCAGCGCGAACCAAAATAAATAATGGAGCCGGCCAAGAGGCAAGGTGGAGCCTTTGTGGTCAGTGGCTGGCCAAAATGAATGTGCGCTAAACACGCGCAAACACCCCGTGCCCAAAACACAACAACTGCGTGTTGGTTGTCTGTAAATGGGGAAAAAAAGGGTTAGAAAATGCACAAGCGACCCTTTTTTCGGGTGGAGGTGGTGGTGCTGTAACCTGTGCAAAATTATGCATTTGCATATTAAACAGTGACCATAAATTTCGTTGATAGAAAGAGAGGGCAAGCAAAAGCGAAAGCTGAATTCCCGCTTAACAAGCTTACCAAAAAAAAAAAAGGAAAAATAAATAAAAAACAAAGTTGATATAAAATGAGAAGAGCTAAAATAAGAGAAAAAGTGGCCAAGACAAAAGGCTGGCTTGGCCTTAATCATCGACGTGCAACCCTTTGGCTGGGCCAATGTTTGAGCCTTCGTTTGAGCCCTGCTTTGAGCCTCTTTCATTATTATTATTGGCACGCCCCGTTTTTGCTGCGTTGCGTTGCGTTGCGCTTCGTATCGTTAATTTTTAATTGATCTGAGCGAGCGCGGCTGCATTCCCTTTTTTTTGCGCCGATCAGGTTCGTCAGTTCGCTTTTGTGGCCCCAAGTGCATTTTAATAACATTAGGCCCCCACTTAACGAGATATCCTAGCGCCCCAATAAGAAACAACCGAAAAAACGAGCTTAATGCCCGCGATTGCGTATACGCCCCGTTGGCTGCGTTCGATGATGATCGCAATGATCACGATGATGATGAAGAGGCCAAAAGGAGTAACGTACATTGAACTTTTTAGCAAGTTGCCTTTTGGTTTTTTTTTTATACCGATCTGCTTTAGTTTTGATTATCGATCGTCTGCCCTTGTGCATTTAATTTTTAGCGTAACAGCCTACAATCGATTCAAATTTTCCCACGGGGAACCCGAGATGCCACAGCTGGCCCCAAAATGTGTTAATTAGTTTTCCCCCCTGTCGCCGTCTCTTTCGTTTCTATAGTTGCTCTCTCTTGCTCAGTGGGTTGGCCACAAAATTCGTTGGCCCGCTGCGATCGTTTAAGCCTGGTTTATGGCTGTTAGCTGTAAGCTGTTAGCTGCTTTAGCTGTTGAGCTGTTAGCGTTGAAATACGCCTGCGGATTAATAATTAATTAAGCTCTATTCTCCAAATGCATTTATAAGCGATTGTGTCAAGTGTTGATGGGTTTATTGTTGCCAACAGTTTTCAAATGGCAATAGCGCGAGCTTTTCTTGGTAACGCTCAAAGCGGCATGCAAATGTGACATAAGCCAATGTAATAAGCGTAAGAATAAATAATTTTTAACTTTGTTTGCTGTTTTTTTTTTTTGCCATGACGTGGCCGTCGTTTTGTTCAATTTACTGTGTGAAAATTCGCATAAATTAAGTCTGGCAGCAACTGAGGCATAAATATTATGCAAAATGCAAGCGCCGAGTCTCGCCCCTCTAAGGCCCCCTCCCCCCTGATTATATAAGTCACGATCGGCGAGATGAGCAGCTGCCTGTTGACTGCGATTGACCCCGGCTAAAGTTTTGTGTTCTTTGCGGATTTGCGGCTTTTAAACATGGATTGGCAATTAGCTGTAGACATTAAATGCTTCCATAGACAGAGCGTTTCAAAGGTGTAAGATTGGGAAACAATTACTGGAAATTAGAATGACTAGTAACATTTATTTTCATAAAACAAGTTCTATTTTAGTTTACAGGCTAACAAAAATCTCCAAAGTAATCGGATAATGGAATGTTTTTATTTATTCATTTATTTTTAGTACTTCAGCAACCTCGGTTTCACTCTGCACTGTATGGCAAACGTGACAAATTTAAAAAAAAGTAGATTAATGGAAATTAGAATGACTACTAATATTTATTTTTATAAAACATTTTCTATTTTAGGTTTATAAAAGTGTACAATAATTCAGGTTAATCAACATCCCAAACATATTAATCTGAGTATGGAATGGTTATTTCCATTTTATTTATATGTTTTCTAGTACTCCAGCAGCATGTTTACTGTTTCGATCTGCACTGTCTGGCAAATGTGACAAATGCCATTCAAGGCTGGAACCGAAAAGGCTTGGCTATTTTCAGAGCTGTGGGGAGGGCAGTCAGCCTGGCGGCTAAAAGCGAAAACAAAACGAAACTTTAACGCTTATAAAAGTTTTCGGGCCTTATAATTAAATGCAATTATTGCGACGCCAGCGGGCTGCTTAGCCAGAGTTTTCAGTAACAACAAAGGAGCAGCAAAGCAGCAGAGCAACAGAACAACGGCGGAACAACTGGAAAACATATGTTAAAGCGAACGGGGCCGGCAAAACTGGAGAGCTGAGCTGCAAAACTGAGCTGAACTGGCGACTAAAACTGAAACCGAAACCGAAACTGAGTTGCGGGCTAAAATACATAAATTAAAAATTTGCATTGTTCTGTTTCGAAGCTCGGGGATCCGCACACCACAACACAACACAACACACCACACAACACCAGATAACACAACACAACACAACACAACACAACACAACACACACAAAAAGAACTTTTGCAGTGTTTTACGCTGGAAGAGTAACGACTTGTTGACTGTTTTCATACAATTCGGAAATTTAATTAAAGGCGGCCCCAAAGCAGCAGACAATGAGGACCGGTTCCCCGCCCCCTTTTAGCTGCAGGTGCTTTGCCGCAGTGTTGTTGTATGTCGTACGTTGTATGTTGTATGCAAAATCGCAGCAAACAAAACTTGACCCTCGCGTCTCGCGACTCGAAGATCAATACAATTGCCACCCAAAGAGTTTCAGTTCAGCTCTTCTGTGATTTCAATGGTCAGCCCTCGGCGGGCACACAATACAATTGAATTGCATTTCAAGCAGCTAAGGACATTTGAAGTTGATGGGCCGCATCCTGTGCCACCGAAAACAGAGAGACAGAGAGGCAGAGAGAAAGGAGAGACAGAGATGGACAGACGGACGGGCCATAAGTCAGCTGAGTGCCACATAAATTTTAATTTGTTGCATATTTTGTCAACGGAGAAAAGTCCACACTCGAGAGGAGCTTGGCTTTGGGGGTCCAGCTGTGAATTTCTTGGGAATTCCCTACGTCAGCGGGGGCCAGCGGGGGCATAATAATGGTTTATTTATGTTAATGTTATGCAATCAAAACGCATACGATTTAAATGCCAATAAAAAATCAACGCCAAGCCACGCGAAGGCAGCGTTTCAGTTTAACAGTTTGTTTGTTTGTGGCCAGGGCCCGTTGTTGTGTTTGTGTTATGCTTGTTGCCTGCCTTTTTACGCATCTTTAATAGACCAATTTTTCGTATGGTTAGCTGAGTCGTAGCGTTGCGTTCGTTTCCAGAGTCTTTCGTTTCGTACTGGCGCCACAAGACACAAGGCACACGAAGAACGAACCTGACCGCGACAAGGTTACACATATTTTCATAGTTTGCTGATGATCCAGCTCGATAAAAACGTAGTCCCCAAACCCACACACACACACACCGCTACGTACTAATACTCGACTGTTGCTGCTGTCTGATTATGTTTTTAGTGCGCTAAGTGATAATGATGATGCACCTCGATCGTTATCGGCCAGGCCAGGCCAGCATCCAAATCGAAAGCATTTTTCCCAGCTCCAATCAAGAGACTAAGGAAAAAACAAACAAACGTAAAGAGTTTCTGGTTCCCGGAATCGTATTATGACATTTGAGAACTTTCACGCTGCTTTTTATGGCCTTTGGCGACAGAAACGTGGCCCGAGATTGATGCTCATGTGCATCGATTTCCCAGGAACTCATCCTCTCCCCCCCTCCGAATACAGTTGCTGAATTTATTAGTTAATTTGATCGAATGTGTGGATGTTTAACCCAGCGGGTCGTTTATATATATGGCATATATCTGTATATCTAGCATTTGCTTACCAGTCTTCGCTTTGGCTTGATCAGCGGTCGGTTTTGGCCGTTCATTTTATAGTACAGGCCACAGGCGTTGCACAGATAGTGTCCCGTTCCATCGCGTCGCCACAGTGGCGTCGATGTGGCGCCGCAGTTCACACACTCGCGTCCCTCTGCAAAAATTGCACAAAATATGCAAATATTTAATGACGTGTTTTACAGTTTTCAGAGGCTTAGGTTAAGATACAAAACATTAAGAAAATATTTATTAATGTGGCATAATTATGAGTTGTAAAGTTAATTACAGTTCAAGTTTTCTTGAAATATACACAAGGTAGAAGCTATTTTTTTTAATATTATCCTTTAAAACTAATAATAAATTAAGTGAGTTTAGGCAAAATTCTTTATACATATTAAAATATACATACAAGTTTTATTGTTTTAACTTTTTAGTTTAATTTGTATAAATATATTTGGTTGTTATTTTCTATATTTTTGTAGAAAACTTGGACTGCAATAAAAGATTTAGTTGCAGACACTGGAAAATGTAAGCTGAAATAATGGCTTTAGTGAGTTATTATTTGTTTTTTAATTAATTATTAATTTTGTTGTTTTTTCTGTAAATTTCTAGGAAACTTGGACTGAAGTAAAAGTTTAAGTTGCAGACGCTTAATGATATGGAAAATGTGACCTCTAAAAATGGCTTAAATGAGTCATTATTTCTTTCTGTGTCGCATTCTTGGGCGAACTTTCTTGGGGCACTGTCTTTCCGCACACATTTGTATGGGTTAATGTTAACCCAAAGCGCGCGACAACAACATGATGCACAGCAGCAGCAACAACAGCAACAACAGAGGGCAACATTTTTCAGCTGTTTCTCAGTCATTTTGATGTCTTTTGTTTTTGTGTGTATGTTGCTGGTTGTGCTGTATTTTTTCCTTAGTTTTTTCTTGGTTAGTTTGTATTTTGCATTTTGTATTTCGTATTTTTTTTTGGGTTGCTGGGCAAACGCATGGAAGCGGAAATGATGGATTCGCTGGGGTTGGCTGTATTGCCCCGTCTCTTTCTCGGGGCCATGTTGCCCTCTCTTTCTGCTGACTTTACACATTTTAATTAAGCAGCGACAGCGGCTTCGTTCTAGTGACTGCAGTTCCATCCGACTCCCTCTCTTTCTAGCTGGAGTCAGCCCTCTCTTTTGCACTTTCTGGCCAAGGCTAACTGTAAGTCAGCCTCATTTGAATAAGTTTAGTCATAATTTGTAAGCAGAGTTGATTTGACCCTTGGGGGGAAACGAGATGAAGTTGCAAATGTAACGCGTTATTAACGTTCCATATTACAGTTGTCTTTGGCATTCAGAGTTTTCTCTTTGGCGCGCTCGTCGTTCACCCCCAACTTTTCCTCAACTCATTTAATGACGCCACTAAATGGGCTTCATTATTTCGGTTTTTGTGTGTTTAATGCTTCAGTCTTTGTTTGCGCTGGTGCGCTTGTTTTGAAATTGAAATTTAGTCATAAAGTCACTCCCCCCCCTTAGAAACCCCCTGAACTACGTTAACCATTAGCTATGCTAAAGAGAAAACCGAGAGATTTAACGCTACTTTTTGGGGCTGGCGTAATTAATTAAGCCAGCCTTTTTACATGGCCACATGAGCATAACTTTTTATTGAATATTAGCCACTGGCCAGAGGCACACCCAAAAAAAAAAAAAACCTAAGAAAAGGTTCGCATTAAGTGCGTTTGTCAAGCGCTTGCCTGCTGAAATGCCATTAGGGGAATTCCAGTTGCGTTTTGATGACAGAACCGGGCTTTATTTCCCATTTTCTTTTGGGGCTTGTGTTGCTTCACGTGATTTAGTTCACGCAGCTATTGTCACACGTGTCCTGCGGCGTCCTGTCTCCTGGCATGCCAGGCATTTTGTTTTCAAGCTTTCAAAGAAATTAAATAAAACGCTCTGCGTGTTTTCCCCACTCCCCGCGTCGTCATCATCAGCATGTGGTCAAGTAATCTCTTTTAACTTTTTTGTTTTTTTTTTGGTAAACTGCCCCCAGCGCGTTAAATAAACAGTTCATTTGTTTCCATTTAATCGCAAGTTTGCTCTGCCTTGGTTTATTTTTGGTCGATTTTTTGTGGCACTTTTTAATTGCCGCTGGGCGTGTGTTTTTGTTTCTCCGTTTTTTTTCTGCGTAAAAGTGCCGCCAATCAGTGGGGCAACACCCACTGAATTAAAGTTGCATAAATTAAGGCGAGGAGAAAAGTTTGTTTGTCTCTGCAGCAACGAGAAATAGCGAATTTCACTCTGTGTCTCTTATTTTCGAGCGTACCTAGTCATAAATTTTCACCTGCCCCAGTCATGCATATTTATGCCAAAGCATCCAATTCTTCGGTTTGCACCTCGAACAGAAGCCGTTGAAAAATTGAAAACTTTATGCATTTATTAGTTTGTCATAAAGCAGAACAACGGAAGGCCATGCATTTAGCATAAAAGGAACCTTTGCTTGCATATTAAGCCATAAAGTGTGGCTGGCCCACCATTGTTGCAGTTTTTCCTTATTTTTTGTTGCTGTTGAGTTTTTCAGCTTTCCGGAAAGTTGTGGGGCTGCTCCTCCAATCGGAATAACCACTCGGCAGTTAATAAATCAAACGTGTTAATGATGTTTTTACCCTACGTGCCCACATTTGACAACACAAAAAGGCAGCCAAGTTGGCCGAAATTGAAAGGGAATATGGGTTGCATCCCAAAACGAAGTTGGCTGCTGCGCACGCGCACTGGGAATTCTTTGGGTTTAACTACTTTTTGATTCGACTTCTATTTATAGCGATCCTGGGACCTATGTTTTATGGCCATCAGGCATTTGTTTTAGATTTTCTTTCGCCTTTGTTTTGGTTTCAATTTGCCTCCGCTCTTGTGGCTTGTCCCTCTTCTGTTTTATTTATTATTATTTTTATTTTCATTTTCCAGAAAGAGACACACGTAGCAGGTTGGCCTATGATTTAGTAGCCTGCTTATAACTGTTTTCCACCTCTCAACCTCTCAACCCCTCCCCCCACCACAACTTACATCATCTTCTGTGGTCCATGGGCTCGGGCACAGTCATCTGGCTGTAATTTCCTGGAAATTTGTGCACACTTTGGTATTTCTTCGTCTCCGTTTGTTTTTTACGGTGTGACATTGTCTCTCTGGGTCTCAAAAAAAAAACCGAACTCAAACCCGAACCCAAACCCAAACCCAAACTGAAACTGAAACCGAAACTGAACCTGTTTTTAGGGCCTGATTTGGCAGCCTTCTTAGCCTTCTTAGCCTTCTCGTCCGGGGTCTAAAGGTCCAACTAACTGTTGCTGCTTGATTTGACATTTGGCGTCAGTGGGCCATAATTGTCTAGAATTTATGTGTTGTACCTTTTTTCTTGTTAATTTGTTGGACTTGACTTTTCATGTGGGCAGCACAGATCCTGAGAACCTCTGCTTTTAATTAGTTGTTTGGATTAATATTCAGATTTATGGGCTGGTTAGAGGATAGTTAAAGATAGAGACAATTACTTGGTGAGCAAGACAAAAGACACATGGATGTGTGTGAGTAAATAGTTGTTGTTGCTGCTTGTTATTATTGTTTTAATTTTTTTAAACAAATTTCAAAATGAAAATGCTTAAAATACTCGAAAAGAAGAACAAGAAATTAATGAAATTGGAATTGAACAAAAGTGGCTGGGGTGAAATGAAAAGTATGCGCCTAGTATGAATAATTGGCACGCTGGCTGATCAAAAAAGGGCTTATAAATTGCAGTGGGGTTAGGGGAAGGGAAAGGAGGTGAGGGGGCTTAGGGGGTGCATGCCACAAATAAATGGCAAGCGCCTCATTTTGAGGCCACAGCTGTCAAAGCGCGGACAAAGGAACAATGCCCGCTGTTCGTGGCTTTAAGCCCTGATTGAGTGAAGTGAGGGTATGGGCGAGGATCGTGGATCGAGGATCCCCTTAATCCGGAATCCAGTGTCCAGTGTCCATACCCATATCAATTACTTAAAGCTCATTCACAACATTTTTTATTTTCACCTGACAAAAGCCCAAATGGCATCCAATCAATTCCAATTCCCTGGCAGATCCTGCCGCAGTGGCAGTGGCAACGAGCCACAAAGGCCACAACACATGTTCTTGCGCCCGAAAAACTTATCGCCAGCGATGCGATAAACGATAAATAAATACAGGCAACAAGATGCTGCCGCAAGACTAACGAAGGCAGACAATGTTTTTTTTCCTTCATTTCGTTTTCTTGGTTAGTTAAGGCCAGGCTAAAGGACGGGCCAAAAACAAAAAATAAAAAAACTGTCGCCGGGCCAAGAGAATGAAATAAAATAAAATCTGCAAGCGTTTTGTCAGGCCACTTCTCCCTTTTTCATGTACTTTTTTTTTGTTTTTCATTTTTATTTCTCTTGAAGCCGCTTCCTCATTTGTGCCTTGTTATACAGTCATGATTATATGGCTCATACGAGGGGCTACGAATCTATTTGCATTCGGTGGGTGCAGCTGGAAAGCAAGGTGTGCTCTTTGTGTTGTAACAAACGAACAAACGAACAAACGAACGAACAATTGCAGTGGTGCGAAAAGTGCGCGGCAAGTGCCTAACAATTTGCCCTTAACAGAGGTTAGACGGCGCTAACAGATGGTGTTGCTGCCGTGCTTTATATGTTGCTGCTGTGCCACAAAGTTGCTCTTGGGCCAAAGGTTGCTGTTGGACAACTTATACTGGACTTCTTGGCATTTTTATTATATGTGTACTCTAAAGAGTTTGGTTGGAAATTAAAGGAATAGTTAGTTGTTGCAGCTGATTTTATTAAGGAATTGCATCTGCAAGTTGCTTCTGGGTATTTGTATTATTTATCTTCTCCCCTTTATAAAAAAAAATTATTACTGCGGCTGTAAAGTTGCTGCAGTATAGAAATGTTGCAGATGGCTGGCTCACATATTTTTCCCTTAACAGAATTTAGTCGGAAGGTAACAGAGTTGCTGCTGTGGCTAATATTGCTACTACGGCTAATATTGCTGCTGTGACTAATGTTGCCGTTGTATGCCTTTGGCCAGCTGGTTTTCCTTAGCTGGTTTTGCTGCTTGTTTTTGGGGGTTGGCTGTGGCAGCACACCGACCCTCACGCATGGCCCAAGTGGCAGCTATAAAGATGTCGTTGTTGCTGTTGTCGTTGCTGTTGTTGTTGCTGTTGTTGCTGTTGTTGCTGCTGCTGTCGGGCCATGCAAAAACGCAACGCTAAAGCAGGTGCAGCAGCCTGCAACTTCCGCAGCGAATGCGAATGAATATATGCTCGTATGCGCTTGTTTGTGTGGTGGGTCTTTTCAAACAGCAGCAGCAGCAGCAAAAGCAGCAACATGAAGTAATTAACAACCACAACAGCAACAGCAGCAACATCATGAGCCAGTGGAGCCGAGCAAAGCGTTGACAATAGCATTGAAGTTGCTGCCGCAGTTGCAGCTATTGTTGTTGCCGTTGTTGTCATTGTAATGTGCTGATTTCATGGCAACGCGAATACACCGCGTATACGCAATGGAAGGAGGAGAAGGAGGAGGAGGTTGGGCCCTTGCCCTGGGATCTTTCTGCATATTTTTACGCGGCCAGCGATGGCAGGAAACATGCTCAAGTGGCGGGAATGTGGCCAGCATGCTGCTCCCGAGCACATGTCAAGTGCTTTAGTAGCTCGTCGGATGGGGGCTTTCCCCTTTTCCAGGGTAGGAGTTAAGTGATGAGCAGTTCGGTGTCGGAGTGAATCGGATTTGGACTCGTACTTCCCACGTGAGCGTGTGAAAGAGCAATGGCAATCAAAGTAAGCGGGGGGGTGGGGTGGTGTCAAGGCATAAGGGGGTTTTCAAAATGATAACTACAAACTAAAGTGAAAACTAAACAATAAGTGGTTCACTTTGAGACTGCTTACAAGAAAGTTATCTTTGGATTATACAAAAATTAAGCACTGGTTTATCGAGGCATTTTGTTTAAATAAATTACAGATTTTATTTTAATTACTTTTGTATCAGCACTTATGGAAATTCTTGTAGAGCTTATAAAAGTTTAAAAAATATATACGAAAAGCGTTCTGCTTTGCTGTTCCCGTATTTATGGAAAATGATTTTGACATTTTAAATTTAAAAGACACTTTGTCGATAAATCGATTATTTCGATAGGAAAGCAATAGCGTATATTAGGCACAATATGACGTATTTTTTATAGCTCTCAGTTTGCAAATGTTATAATTTAATTATAAGTGAACCTTTCTAAACAGTCTCATTGCACACAACACTGACATAAACATAATCGAATGGTTAAACAATCGATGGCGAGTAACAATGATTATTCACCCACACCGAGATCGCATAATGTCTATAAGCTTTTGTCTTGCTTACCAGCACTTGTCCGCGGCTTGGTCCGCACGGGCTTGATGTCCAGTCCGGCGTTGCTCCCGCCGCCGCCGCTGTGACCGCTCAGCGATGCCGCACCGCCGCCGCCGCCGCTGCCGCCGCTCATGCTGCCCATGCCGGCGGTGCCGCCCCCACTGCCACCACCCACCGAGCCACCCAGGCCGTGCATGCCCGAGGAGGCTCCACTGTGATGGTGGCCACTGTGATGGTGATGATGATGATGGTGCGCCTGCGCCGCGGCCATACTATGACGCACTGCAGCCGCCGCCACCGAGGAACTTTGGAACATATTCGCCGCCGCCACCGCCGCCGCTTGATGGTGCGCCGCCGCATGGTGGTACGAGGCATAGGAGCCGTCGTAGCCACCGCTGCCGCCCCCATTGCCACTCCCCCCGCTGCTGTACGCCTGCGCCGTGCCGTCGAACAATCCGTTCGAGGATTGACTCGCTGCGGAGGCGGCTGCAGCGGCGGCGGACAAAGAAGCTGCTGCTGCGGCGGACGAGGCGGATGTGTTGCTGCTGGCGTTGGTGTTGCTGTTGCTGTTACTCTGCTGCTGCTGCTGCTGCTGTTGCTGCTGCTGCTGACTGCTGCTGGTGGAGTTGGAGCTGGAATTAGTGGTGCTGGTAGTACCTTCGCGCTGCTTGGGCGCCGACGTGTGGGTGGCGCCGCTGCCGGAGGATCCGCTCGCACTGCCGTTCTGGATCGACGGCTTGATATCCAGCGCACAGCTGGCGTCCGTCAGTGAGGTAGAGCCCGTGGCCTGCTGGTGCATAAACGCGTTCATCACGGCCTGCAAAAATTTGGGATTAAGTCAGTTAGCTTTTTAAACAGGCCATAAAATACTGGGCAAATGCCAAAGAATTTTATTTTGTGGTTTACATTTTATACCCTCAATTAGTAAGCATTTTGAGAGATTTCATTAAGATTCGATTTTTATCATCTTGAATTGTCTTTAACTTTAATGTTCCACTTAAATAATTAATTTTAAATATTCGTATGCGAATATTAATAACTGTAGGTAATTTATACCCTGCTACCTGTATTGTTTGCTTATAAGCAAATATAATTTTTATTTCTTTTAGTCGACTGCTAATAAGAAAGTAACTCCGCGATTATTCAGCTACAATTGACCATAGATAAATGTATTTTTGCTTAACAAGTCGATAAATATGTAAATATTAAAAAAATAAAGAAGTAATTATAAACGTTAGTAGTCAATCTGTAATACCTGCAATATGCATATTGAGAAACTACTGCTCAAAACAAACATTAATCGAAATAATCGACGATTTTAAAATACTCATAATTTGTACCTGCTACAATTATTGTTTTTAATAACAATTCTAAGTTGTGCTAATATTTTTGATATGAAAATACTATGACATCAAAATAACTCTGCAATTGATTATCGCTACAATTGACTATCGATAAATGTATTTTAGCAACCGAGTGAAACTTATAATAAATAATAAAGTAGTAAGACTGAAATATATACAATATTTATAGTTAGAAGATTTTCTACGAAACTCAAATTGATCGAAATAATCGATAAACCCCATGAATGCACTCACCTGATACTCGGATGGACCGGTTTGCACGGAGTCGGGCGTGGAGTCCTTTGGCGGCGTCGGCGGGAAGGGGAACGAGTGCTGACCGGCGGCCGTCGTCTGGTGGCTCTGGCCCATCTGGCCCAGCTTGTGCTCCACCTGAGGCTCCTGGGGGCAGGCGAACTGGCCCATGCTCCAGGCGCTGGCGGGGGCGAAGGACTTGTGCTCGCTGGTCAGCCAGGGACTCAGCGGGGTGTGGAAGTGGGGCCGGCACACTTGGGGCGTGGCATGGGTGGAGGGCATGCGGGATGCTGCAAGGAAACAAAAAAAAAAGGGGTTACAAATTTAATAAACTCTCGCTGCGCGTCGCATCAAGTTAAATGCTGCATTAAATCAATTATGGCCCAAATTTATAACGAAGATTAACCGACTAAGCCGCCACCAGAAGCGATCAAAATTCGTAATAAATGACGATACTCTGTTGTTGTTTCTCTTATTTTCCTCTGTGGCTGCCGCGCAAATTTGCGGAAAAGCTGCGTTATAATTTATGAAACACCAGAGTCAGCTAAAAACAAAAAAAAAGAGAGCGAGAAAGAGCCGCCTCAGAACCTCGGAACACTCAACCGCCGTGGAACGCAAAACGAACCACCATTCATTGCTCGCGGCCTTCGGGGCAACTTTGCATATGGCCAAGACCATAGAGAGCTGGCGAATAAAAGGAGGGAATAAAGGCAACTGCGACTGGGACTTCTGCATTGTCATAAATTGTTTAATTTGTATCATAAACAATCGCGTTAAACTTTTGTCCCAGAGCTAAAAAGATCGATCAACGGCTCGGGCCGGCTCACCTCGGCTTTTGTGTTGCGGGGCCAAAAGTGTAGCCTAAATGTCTGGCAGTGTATAATTTAGCAGACACCAAGTGAGATTTATGTGCGCCAATGCTGCCGGTTACTCCATCGATCCTATCCGCAGCGATCCCCAGTCGATCCCCAGTCGATCCGCAGTCGATCGACGGATCCGACAGATCCCCATATCCTCGCAGCGGGTGTTTTTCGAGTTTTGCAGAGGGATGAGGACTGTGGTTGAGGTTGGGGGACTACCAAAGGGGGCTGGCAGGCACGTTGCAATTGTTCGGGGCGCACTTATTCTTATTATTATCATTAATATTGGCTGCAGCTCCCCAAAGAGTCGCAACTTGCTGGCCCTCGGGGCTTGTTTGTATGTGAAATTATTTTTGATTATGCAGCAGCATCGGCGGCAACAGCAGAAACAGCAGTCGAAGCTGGTTGGCCAACAGTAGGTCAGTTCATTGCACGCCGAGATGGATTAGGCCAAATCAAGACAAGAGTCAAAAAGGAATAGCGTAAAGGAAACTTATAATAAAGTCTGAATGGAAGAATTCAGAATACTCTGCTGTCAGGCCATTAAAAATAAGTATAATATTGAAGATAATATTTATGGTGATAATAAAAGACTTATTAAATAGGAAAGTTCGTATGCTTCGATAAAACTAAATTATGAAATTAATGATTTAAGAACCAACTACTATTGAATTAAAATTTAGGCAAAGTTATAGCAAACACTTCCATTTAAACCATAAACCCTCTTAGCTATTATTTTCTCAAGAAGAGCCATAATTTGACCACTTCTAACAAGAGTATTCAGCCTTCGGTATATAGCAAGAAAAACCAAACACGATCGATGGATCGTTGGGGTCGCTGCTTTGACCGGATCGCTGGCTGCGATAATATCCATTTGATTATCCTAATAACAGTGCTTTAGTGGCGATATTATATGTACGTGTGCCTGATTATAGAAATTAGCTGCTGCAGCAGCATCAGAAGCAGGAGCATCACCATTGCAGAACCAGCAACAGGGTTTTGATATCTCGTCTTTGTAAAGGAATATTCCCAGTATAACGTACAACACAGTGCAATGCCTCAATCAAATGTGGTTATTGCTTTTCACGATCTGCTGTGCAGACTTCACACTTTTGCGCCAAAGACAAAACCAATGAAAGGAACCCCCTTATATTTTATATGAAGTCGTCATCGGTATGGCTCATATATAATTTGCCAAGATCGAGGGAAATAATACCATTGGTCATGCTAAATTATATGGTCGGGATGGTTGCATCTTTCAGCCCGTTGCCAAATCAATGTCCGATGCGTTCTTTAATTGGCATGGCGAAACTTTCAATTTGCCAGCCGATGGTGTTGGCGATATCAGCGGGCTGTTAATGTTAATCCCGCAGTATATACTATATGTACATGACTCACTTTTGGCTAAGTCGTTTTTTACTTGTTTGTTGTTGTTCCTTAGCTGTGCGCTGGTCGTATAAAACAATTCGCTAATAAATCAAGCTGAGTACACAGCAATTAAAGTTGCAAACTTGAAACAAAAAGAACGACATTTTTTTGCTGCTATTGCTGTTGCTGTTGCTGTTGTTGTTGCTGGTGGTATGCAAAGCTCGTGCTGGTGGAAAAACGCTGCCCTTGCTCGTCTTCAGGCCAAAAAAAAAAAAAACAATAAAAATAAAGTAAGCAAAAACAAAAACAAAAAAGAAGGCAAGCCTGGCTGACACGTTCTACACAGCAACAACAAAAGCGGTTAAAAAACAACATTTTGAAGCTTTTTGGCCTGCGCTTGATTTCTTCAAACTGACAGATCAAAGCGCCAAAAGCCGCCGCTCTCTTTCTTTTAGCCCCGTTCTCCTGGCTCTCAGTTAACTTGGACATTTCTATGGCGTTTTAAAAGCGTTTGACAGCGCTCAACGCTCTCAGCGCCTGTCCATCTAAGCCAGGCCCGAAAACCAAAATCCGAAAACCGAATCCGAAAACCCGGCTTAAAGCGCCTTTTAATTGCAATCGAAGCTGACGCTTGACGACGACGTGAATGACATAATTAATGTACAAGTACGAGTACGGGAACGAGTATATACACATATAAACGTAGGCCGGTTTCTGACTGTGCACTTAGCCGGACGTGTTGGACATTTGAAGATGACAGAAGACAGTCACCAAACAGGTGGAGTTCCCAACCCCCTTTCCCCCAAAAAAAAACCAGAGATGAAATGGCTTCAATTAGTAAAATGCATCAGCTGCCGGACCAAGTTATCATTTCTCGGCCATCTCGCAACATTTGAATTTCAATGTGAAAGGACAAAGCAAAGCAAAGCAAAGCAAAGCAAAGGCAATGCAAAAGCAGGGTGGCGAAACCCATCTTGATAAGGCCAAAAAAGGATTTTCAGCTCTCTCAGTCTCTGGTAAATTAAATTCACACCAAAAATCGAGGCAAAAGGATTGCGATTAGGGGTGCGAGATGCTGGGCGTTGTGTTATCAATCGATGGAAATCAAATCCGCAAATGAGTGAAACGAGACTCTCTAACCGTTTTTCCAACGAACTTATGTGAGATGTCAGTGCTGGTCGATTAGTGGATTTCAGCCGATTCAGTTGATTCAGTTGATTCAGTTGATTCAGTTGATTCAGCTGATTCAGCTGCTTCCTGCCACCAAAGGCCAACAATCAATCATGCGAAAGGACAAGGACGAGGACGAGGACGAGGATGAGGGAATCCTTCCTGACCCCTTGATGTTTCACAACGTCTGCAGGCGGTGGCTTAATTTATAGCCAGAGCTACCCTCGAGAAACAAGGACTTTTCTTTTCACCTGCTCAACGGGCGATTTGATGTGATGCGATGCGATGCGTTGTTGCTGTTGCTTTTGTTGCTGTTGTAGGCGCGTGGCTCCAAAATGCGGTCAAGTGTCTCTCTTGGCGGCGCTGTTACACCTGCTCCAAAATTGGAAATTGTTTAAGCATGCAGCAGTGGCAGCAGCAACAACAGCAACAACAACAACCAGCAACAACCAACAACGGGCCATAAACTATAACGGATTCCAGTTTCAGCCACCACCGCTAGCGAGATCGAGAGCTCAGCAGGTAGGTCAGTTTTAGCCGCTCGAAGACACCTTGATAGTTATAGTTGTGCACAGGAAAATATATATACAACTATTCAATAACTAATTCCACAAAAATGTAAATTAGAAATGTAAATTATGAAATATTTTGAACTCAAATTGTTTTCCTATTAAAATTGTAATTACGAAATTTTTGAAAATGTATCGCTTACACAATTAGGAAATTTATAAAAATATATATAAGCCATTCTTAAGTGACAACAAAACGAAATTATTGCATATTAGGTTTACGTAGTGACGAATGGGCCATTTTTATACCCTTGCAGAGGGTATTATAATTTCAGTCAGAAGTTTGCAACGCAGTGAAGGAGACATCTCCGACCCTATAAAGTATATATATTCTTGATCAGCATCACTAGGCGAGTCGATCTAGCCATGTCCGTCTGTCCGTCTGTCCGTCTGTCCGTCCGTTTATATGCAAACTAGTCTCTCAGTTTTAAAGCTATCTGCATGAAACTTTCCCAAAAGTTGTCTTTCTATTGCAGGTAGTATATAAGTCGGAACGAGCCGAATCGGACGACTATAGCATATAGCTCCCATAGGAACAATCGGAAAAATAATTGAAAAAAAATTATAACTTTGCTGTTTTTTAATTTTTGGTTTAGTTCTTCGACATATAGCAATGGTTAAATAATTCAGAATTATGGTTTAAATTTCATCAAAATCGGACGACTATAGCATATAGCTCCCATAGGAACAATCGGAAAAATAAATGAAAAAAAATTATAATTTTGCTGTTTTTTAATTTTTTGTTTAGTTCTTCGAGATATAGTAATGGTTAAGTATTTCAGAATTATGTTTTAATTTTCATCAAAATCGGACGACTATAGCATATAGCTCCCATAGGAACAATCGGAAAAATAAATGAAAAAAAATTATAACTTTTCTGTTTTTTAATTTTTTGTTTAGTTCTTCGACATATAGCAATGTTTAATTATTTCAGAATTATGGTTTAAATTTTATCAAAATCGGACGTCTATATCATATAGCTCCCATAGAAATAATAAAAATATATAAAATAACTATCTTATAATTGAGCTGCAAATCATCATAGTTTCAATGTTTTTCAGCATATACTCAAGTAAATCATAATTTAAATATTTTCAAAAGTATTTAATTCATGCAATAGCTGCAAGGGTATATGAACTTCGGCTTGCCGAAGTTTGCTTTCTTTCTTGTTTTAAAGTAATTATAATTAAAAGCATTGCTATGATAGAAGGAAAACTGTCTGTAAGTTAATGTGAAACAGGTCAAAATTGGTTTAAAAATTTAATTGGAGTTTTTAATCTTAGCTAGACAATTTATAATTAATTTTTGATCAAAAATAATACC